GTGTACCAAGTTTTACTTTTGAATTTTTCAAATAGAAGGCAGATTATAAGGTCTCTTGGTTAGATTTTTAATTTTGTAAAGCTGGATTGACTCAGAATGTTTTAGGGCTTGGCTGCCGTCTGGAAGAACGCCTTTCAGCTGTTCTGTGCAGGGAGGGAGGGGTGATGCCAAGGGCCATGGCCATCCGTCACGGCCCCAAACCATCGGTTTGCTCTAGAGAGCATTCAAATTGCACACCGGTCATCGAGCCTGCTGATATGAAAGAGTAGACAAGTGTATTTACACACCGGAGATTTCTCAAACAGGAGACTTGTTGCTCAGAGTCCCTGTCTCCCTCCTCGTAGCTAGAAAACAGGCTGGGAGGAGAAGAACGGTTCCAGGAGCGAGTGACGAAGCACCTGATCCCGTGCATAGCGCAGTTCTCCGTGGCCATGGCAGACGACTCTCTATGGAAACCGCTGAACTACCAGATTCTGCTAAAGACGAGAGACTCCTCACCCAAGGTGGGTGCTGTGGTCGACAGGCCCCGAAGCTGCGTGTGTTCCCCATTTAAACAGCCCTGAAGCGATAGTGACCGTAGGCCCGTGGTCAACCAGCTCCTTGGCTTCTAGAACTAGAGGTTGCTCTGTTGGGCATAAGTTTGAGCCTGAGATATGTTTGGTTTTTACTTAAAGGCTATTTATGTGTAATAGAAGTCCTCCCTCACCCCCACGGTGTGTTAGATGCAAGCAGTGACATATTTAAAGGAATGCGAACATTCCTTTGAGTTAGAGCAATGGATTCTCTCCGTCGTGTGTATCAGGCTTAGGATTTTGTGAAATAACGGAAGGTAAGTAGTGGTAGACCGACACACACATGGGCGAGGATGAATGGGAGTTACAGCCCCGTGCAATCTAATCATCATACGAGTACCTCAGTGAACAAAGCAGAGTGAAGCAGAATTTTATCAAAAGATTTATTACTTGAAATTCATAACATTTATTAGGAGAGAGAACAATGAGGCTATTTTCACAAACCCCCAGATTTTAAATTACAGGGTCTTACAAGCTTACAGCATTTAATTTACCTTAATATTTTATTTTGAATGTACAATATCAAAAAAAGTCTGGTAGGTAGTCACATAGGCTTTTTAAAGAAGTCATTTTGCTGTATCCAGATATTTTGTTGTCATTATCCAAAACCAGAAAGGGGATTAGTACAGCTTTTGTTTCGAAGTGAATTACTAACAGAGCCAGACAATTGCTTGTATTCCTTGTCATAGACCAGAAATATGAAATAGAGAATAGAAAACATATGAATTAGGAATATGAAATAGGAATAGAGAAACACCCAGACTTAATTTTAAGTTCCCAGATCGGGACGTCACGATACAGTCATTGTTTTTTAATTCTGTGCTGAGCGGCTGGCCCCTCCCACCACTGTAGTGGTGACCCAGTCAGGCTTCTGAGGGAAGGGTCCTGCCTGAGGCGCCAGGCTGGCCTCCTTGCCCCCAGCGAGGTGAGCCTGTGAGCTTCAGTGCACGTAAACTAGATGACATACTTGAGTTTGTGTGTGGCTTTTTATTTGATTGTTGTTTTTAAAGGAAAATGTTAGAAAAAGTATTCGCATTAAGCCCTGCAGTATTGGAAGACACTGTAAAAACCACTGGTATAAGGTTGTCCATATCATAAACAGATCCTAAGTTGCCATATAAATGGGTTTTCTGAGATGAAAGTGGAGTGGAAAGAAGAACCAATTCATGTGAAGTAACGTTTAGTTTAAAAAGGCAGACCTGGGGGCGCCTGGGTGGCTCAGTCAGTTGAGCATCCGACTTTGGCTCAGATCATGATCTCGCAGTTCATGGGTTTGAGCCCCACGTCAGCCTCTGTGCTGACAGCTCAGAGCCTGGAGCCTGTTTCAGATTCTGTGTCTCTCTCTCTGACCCTCCCCTGCTCACACTGTCTGTCTCTCTCTCTCTCAGAAATAAATTTTTAGAAATTTTAAAAAGGCAGACCTGTCTCAAGTTAGACAGTTGTAAGATATAAATATAGCACTGATAATCTTGGAGGGTTTTTAAAATCCTTCTTTACCTTTTTATTCCTTTCAGGTTCGATTTGCTGCTCTGATTACGGTGTTAGCACTGGCTGAAAAACTAAAGGAGAATTATCTTGTCTTGCTACCAGAGTCCATCCCTTTCTTAGCTGAATTGATGGAAGGTAATTCCTAACCTACTAAGACATAATGACAAAAAGTCTGTGAAGGTATGCCCGGTGATCGTGGACATTTGGACAGAAACCCCACCCTCCGCCCGCCCCACATGACAGTGCACACAGGGCGGACTTCCCATGTTGAGTAGGGTGGGGGAGCGTGCTAGGTGACCACCCTGCGAACATTGGAAACTTGTTTACAGGGGAATCTCATCTCCTTTACTTCTGTGTTTATGGTGGTGAAAACTGACTACAGTACTGTTTCTCATTAGCCTCGCACATTGATAGGATTGAGTATCTCGGTCCGCAGACATGAGGGCCTATCAGAAGGTCTGGCGCCAACGACTGCAGTAGGTTAGCTGCCTGTTAGCACCAGCCAACATTTCCTCCGTGCCCTACCTGGAGGGTCTCCTGCAGTCCTCACATGTGGGTGCCTTTCTCCCTGTTTCATAAAGGAAGAAACTGGAGGCTTTGAAAGGAGCATAGCAGGTAGAACTGGGGTTCAGGCCAGGTTTACACAGCTCTGGGTGCGGCGAACGCCCTGCCGCCCGAGAGAGCGGTGCATCCCAGTCAGCAGGGGTGAGGCGGCGAGTAGCCCAGTGCTCGTCTCACAGTCCGCGCTCCCGTGTCGCTCACGTCCTGGAGCGGGGCGGCACTAGGAATTCGGGAGGTCCACTGTGTCGCTCTTTCGGGGGGCCTCCCTCACCTTCAAGTCAGACCAGGAAGGGGGCTGGGAGGAGGGCACCATGCTTTCTGCTTCATGGACAGGTTTCATTTTCCCTCTTGGGACTGAAAAATGGCCAGATGATGCAAGGTGTGAAGAACTGGACAACCAAAAGCTGAGGCAGGTTTCTTTCTGCATTTAGATGAATGTGAAGAAGTGGAGCGGCAGTGCCAGAGGACCGTCCAGCGGCTGGAGGCAGTCCTGGGGGAGCCGCTGCAGAGCTACTTCTAACCCTCCGCGCTTCGGGGCTGTCTTGCTCCGTTCAGAGGTCGGGTTTCTTCTTCTTCTTTGTGTTTGTGGGCGTTTGGTACCATATTATTTTTGGTGCCCTCACACCCGCGCGGACTGCTGTGCGAGCCCCAGCCACGTGCGCTGCTCTCCCGCCCCTTGTACAGAACTGCAGGAAGAGTAAACGATGCCTATTTTTATACAGACTGCTGTTTGTCTACGCATTTGTCATCGTCTTTTCTGACTGATGCTGTTGATATCAGACCTGTTTAATTTCAGCACGCAAAGACAGAGGTACCTCTCTTTAAGACAGTTAAAGCCTTTACTTTTCCCATAAAGGGATGTCTTATGTATGTGGTATCCGTGTCGGATTTCCCTCCTGGCAGGAAAGGGACAGTTACTCGGCACTCAGCAACAGTGCTTTTGACTGTAAAGGTATTTGTGGAATACTTTTCATTTTGGGTAGGTGATACGTTAGCCGTAATTTCTGTGCGTGGCCTCAGAAGGAATTAGTCCTAGAGGCATTTTCCACTTAGGACTACGATTGTCTTGTGTAACCTCCTGTCTTTGGTGGGGCCAGAGGCAACAGGCTGTTTATGGCAGATCCCACAGCTAGGAAAGGCCTAGAAACGCTAGGGGGCATGGCTTCTCCAGAATTAGAAATGATCACATATCCCCTGGTGGTAATTCAAGAATTACTTGTATGAGAAAGTATCAGATTTTTTTCAAGCTTTGAAGTTATTTTTTAATGTTTATTTTTGAGAGAGAGAGAGAGAGAGAGCGTGCAAATGGCAGATGGTCAGAGAGAGAGGAAGACACAGAAGCTGAAGCAGGCTCTAGGCTCTGAGCTGTTAGCACAGAGCCCAGTGCGGGGCTCAAACTCAAAAATGGTGAGATCGTGACCTGAGCCAAAGTCAGACACTTACCCGACTGAGCCACCCAGGTTCCCTGGAACTTTCAAGTTTTCTAATCCCTGATGTCATGGTGAAGGTGAAGGCTCAAATAAAATAAATAAAATGCCTTCAATAACGGCAGATTTAATTTATGCCTTAAAAAAATTCAAAGCATCTAAGAACTGTCCCGTAGACCGTTTAGAAATGTTTGAAAGCCTTTGTTCTAATTTAGTGCAGAAATCTCATGCAGAATCCTGACAAAGAAGCAAAAGGCTGGATTGCAGCTGTAGAGCTATAGCTTGCTAGCAATGTGTACTCCCCTTTAAGAAATCACTTGATAAGATTTCATTGGTGAATGCTAATAGCTTCTTTTCAAAACGTTATCTTAATATTTTGTATTTTCTGTCAAAGAATCGGTCTTATGTCTTAGTAATAACTCCATGTACAAAACAAGTGAAAATCAAGTATGTTTAAGAATTAGAGGAAACGACGACATATGTGGGCCTTTTTCCTGAGTGGCCTGTAGTCTCTGTCTCAGTTACACCCTCTGGTCTTTATGAAGGAAAAGAGAAAACAAACCCTGGGAGACTCCTTATTGGGACCCCATCCTCCCCCCATGAGCTTGGCAGGATGTAGCATGATACGTTAACATGAAGCGAAAAGAACTACGTGCCAGAATCTTCTACGTGGAGTACATTTAAAAAACCAGGTTGGTAGTAGTATTGTTTTCAGTATATGGGTACAGATAAAATCTAACCAAAATATGTAATGAAAATATTCCTAAATCCTGGTAGCATATTCAGCACAGCAATTTTCATGATAATATGATCAAACTGATTGAGCTTTTTTACCTCCCCCATCCCGAGCCTTTGAAATTTCCCATGACAAGATCTGACCTGTAAGAATTCTACAAAGAACTTCTGCCAACTCGCTTCAAAGAATAATAAAAAATTTACAGAAATGCAACAGTTTAACTTGCTGATACAGGTTTGATTTTAATCACTTAAAGTATAACAATGTTTTGATCTCGCTCCTTAATGACGAGGGACTAATCTTTAGAAGAGCAGAGAGGTGAAGTCTGTTTGCATGCAGACAAGCAACAGTTTTATACCACCACTCTCTACTTCATTGGTCTCGGTGTATTTTATTTTCTGATGGTGCCTATTTTATGAACAGTCATTAAATCTAATCTTGACAGTTGCATTGTTACACCCATAAACGTTTTACAAATTGCAATCATCTACCTTAAACTTTTTACTGCAGTGTGTGTAGACCTCTGACTCACCCTAATGCGAGTACTGTAAGCGTTTACTGGTACAGACATGAGTGGCCTTGAGATGGACATCAAGTTATTTTTCATGCCATTTGTTTTTGTTTCACCGTTATTTGACTTAATCTTTGTGCTGTGATTTCATAGTGTTAAGTATTCGGCAGTGCTTAGAGCTAGTAGAGCTAGATATTTATCATGTTAAAGGAAATTGCCAGATGTAAGGGCAACATCAATTCTTTCAGTTACGGGATAGGATCGAACTCTGGTTAGGAAAGCAGTCTCTGGAGTAGGAACAGTGTCTTGGAAATTAACGTCTAGGTGACTTAATAGCTGAGTAACTCTTTTCAGTCTCTGGTTACTTCACACAGTTAACGCCTATAGAACAATCGGTGGCACAGTAGCAGAGCACAGAAGATTCTGAGCTCAAGAGAACAGGGGCCAAAGCAGTATTATGTTCCATTGTATACATATATCCCCAGCCTCTGGTACAGTGCTGGCGGAAAATAAGTACTCGATGTGTGTTAGCTACTATATTACTAGATACTTGTTGAAGCTGAATCGCGTTTAAAAAGGAGACCAGGGTGGGGGAGAGAGCAGAAAGGCCTGAATAATGGCTGGAAGTTGCTCTTGCTTGAATTTCCTTACGCTGTGGCTACACAGAGCCACACTGCATGGCAAGACTGAACACCTAGGAGGACTTTGTTATGCAAGCTCATTTAAACAATATATATAAACAATATAATAATAGATGCACTTTAACGAGGCCAGTGTTACATAAGCCATTTTGTATTTCAGTTTTTGTAGCAAGCATGTCAGCTACCAACTTCTGACTTCCAGTAAGTGAATATCTCCATCGATTTCCAGCGTGTCGATATTGCTAAGCTCTTTAAATCTGTGCTTGTACTCCAGGCTGTGCACACCATTTATGGCAACCTTGAATTCTCTAACATCACAGTAAATTATCATCTGGAAGGAAAGTACACACAAAATTAGTGGCTCCCTGGGTTTAGAAAGTTCCCCCAGCCTGCTGCTAACTTCCCTTCTTATCAAGATTCTAACTACAGTGTATCCGGTAGTGGCACCTTCTGCCTTGTCCCACTTGGGGAAGGGACTGAGCATGCTTGCAGCCCAGGGCCTGCCTGCCTGCCTTCTGCTGCACCCTCTCCGGCCCCTGCTCCCAGCGAAGTGGGAAGCTGTCCCCTGACCCCCATGTCCGGGAACTGTAATGATGCAGGAACACTGCTGCCATCTTGACCCTCATAGGGGAGCTGACTGCAGTTAAGGGGCTAGAAACCAAGGGACCTGGATCATGACTTTTCAGCCTTAAACCCTAAGGTCTTAGGCAAATCCCACAACTGAGAATTTCCAAAGTTCTGGGCTCTCGCTGGGACTGCACAGCTGCGTGGCCACCAACCTCCACCCCAGCCCAGCGTGGTCTCCCATGTGTCTCTGTGCTCAGGACCCTGTGGATCTATGGAGCAACTGGCATTCTGGCAGAGTGACTTCACTTCCATGGCTGGTGTCCGCCTTCTGTGTGAGCCTTTCAGAGCTGTCTCTGCCTAGCACTCAAAGCTGTGAAAACCAAAAGAAACTACAATCCTTTTAAATCGCTTTTACACGTCAGCCTCATATTGTGATCCTACCGCCAGTCTGGCCAGCCCGCGTTCTCCAGCCACCCTAAGGAGACCAGTCTGGTGAGCCTGCACCTGACGCTTGGAGGGGCAGGGGCAGCAGCTCAGCCTTGGCCCCGCCCCCAGGGCCCACCCTGAGGCAGAGAAACAGGGTTATTTGTTCTGCTTTGACTGGTGATAAATGGCTGCTGGGGACAAGTCCTTGGATAAAAGAGCTAAGGGTCAGACTCTAGGTCTATGTAGAGAATTGAGGAAAATATCGTTAACTTGGAATTCTGTTATCCTCACAACGGTGGAAATCCCAGTTTCAACCAGGCAGAAGGGACCTTTGCTAAGGTACATTTAACAAAAAAATCTCAGGAGAACGCAAAATACAGCCTCACGCACACCCAGAAGGGAAAACAAGCTGGCATGAGAGGGGTATAGTGGGAAGATCCGTCAGTCCCCTGCATTGTATGACAGCAGGTGCAACACCCCTGTATTGCCAACAGAAAGGAAAGGCGTGCGGCCCGGAGAACGCATTGCCGCAGAACAGGCACCATACACCGCGTTCAAGAGATGGCGCCGCAAAGTCCTCACAGCTTTCTGATGTTATGGAACAGCTCAGAAGAACATGATGTGATTTAAAAAAAAACTCACAGATGAAATCACAAGACAATGAGATTTTTTAAAAGACTACTAGCTGGAACTGATGAATTTGAAACAACAGGGAACAGAAGATAACTGGTTAAAAGCAAAGTAGTGGCATAATGGCAACATCCAAGGATCTCAATAAAAACATACTAAAAAGGCAAGAGTTTGAAGCAGAGATGAAAAATAATCCAGCATGAGGGAATGGCTATTCCTGAGGTAGAAAACTAACCTAGAGAAAAAGATTTTAAAGAAATTAGTGTCCTTTTTCATTTTAATCCAGTAGCAAACATGGGGCCCAGATCAAAAAGCAAGTTAGTCACTGGTTTCCTGTCACCAACCACAAGGATCCACTTCCTTCTGGGGCAGTCACTTCTGTCTCCCTCCAGTGGGCCCCAGGTCCTCTCTTCTACCCGGACTCTTGCAAAGCCAACAAACCTACCCCCAGTGACTTGTTCAAATCATCTCCTCAATCTGCAAGGCCCACCTTTAACCTTACCCTACTGCATGCCTCTGACCTCCAAACCCGTATCCACAACTTCCAGGGAACCTCCTAGGACCAGCTCCCATCTGTAAACTCCACACACAGGAACTCAGGAAACACATTCATGTCTAGTTGCTGCCTTCTATGCAGCCTTCATGTTCCTGCTTGTAACAGCTGGTTTTGATGAGTGCTCAAGAACTCAACCTAATGGTCCAGAGCACGTGACCGTTTTAAAATGTAGAAGTGGGACCCTAAATGACCACGGGAGGTAGTGCATCACCTCAACCAGTGAGTGAACCTAACCAACCACCCAGCATCCACGTCAAGGAAACTACTGTCTGCTCAGCATCCAGAAACACCTTCGTAAAGTGTTTCTTTACGAAGAAGAAAATCTTCACACGTTTGGGGGATTCGTGACCGTATGTCTTGAAGTCACATGACACGAGGGGCCCTAAGAAAGTTACATGCCCTTCAAGTTCCAAAGTCTAAACATCTCTTTCCTCGAACACACACAAACAGGACAAATTCCATGGAAAAGCACTGCCACCTAAAGCTATCTGTAACTGAGATGACAGGTGGAGGAGAGCTCAGGCCGGTTTCTGGTTCCTGTGTGCTCATGTTCACGGGGGATTATCCTAACCGTGTTTCCCCGGTCCTGCGGCAAGGTGCCTGCTAAAATTCCTGTGAATAGGAGGCCACACAATAAAACTTCCAGTGCAAATAATGTGGTATTCTACTGGCTGGGCCATTCAGACTGGCTGTAATTTGAATGCCCCTTTATAATGCAGACAGTCTCGAAATAAACAAACACCACGTACTATGTCCACGTATTAAGCTAGGACTTGACATAAGCTGACCACTTCTCCCACCTCTCCTCCCAGGATTCTTTTTCCCCGTCCCAGAATGGTATCTTACCTCAAAGTACATCCCAGGACTAAATGGGAAACAGGTAATATTTCTCTCTTCTTCTCCCCAGGACTCCTGAAGAAAAGAATTTCTTACAAATGCTTTAATATTCAGGCGTGGGTTCAAGTGGAGAGCAATATCCTTGGATTTTCCTGATATTAGGTCAACATTAAAGCTTTTGAGAGAATAGAAAAAAAAACGATTAACCAAGTAGAAGTGCCGTTTCTGCCATTTTAAGAATCAGAATTGAACTCTGATCACAGTTACACAAAGCACACGCACAGGGACACAGGAATGCAGATGAAGGTAAAATTTTAAATTCAGTTAGCACTCCACTGATGTAAATACATTCTTTGCAAGATAAAACTATAAAAACTCTGACAGTTTTCTAGCCTCAGTGTTGAGGCCACAGATCTGGCTGGGAAGCAGCCGAAGTAAACCACATGCCTGTTACTTCAGGCTGCGGGGGGAGGGGACTCGCAAGTGTTCTGTTCCTACAAATGTACTACTTTCTAGGAAGTCACTCATTTCCAACTTTCAGAAGTCTGAACATCTCTAGGAAAGGTGGTTAAGTCACATGACATGAGGGGCCCTAACCAAAGTTGCCTGACCTCGCAGCTGCCCTGGAGTTCTACAGGGTTGGGTGGTGCCTTGTGGGCAAAAATGCCACCCTCTCGTCTGGCCACAAAAAGCCTAGGTCAGAGCACCGGTTCTGTCCCAAACGGCCACAGGCACTCCGGTTAGCCGTGTGACTTCAAAGCTCTTGCTCTGATGGTCTCCCCTTTCAGGTGAGGACTGGGACACGCACGGCTCCTCCATCTCACAAGACTGTTCAGGGTCTAAGGCAACGAGAGACACACACGCAACGTATTCGCGCTATTACTGCCAACAACGGTACTGACCCTTTGGCATTTGTATTCACTTCTCCTTTAATGACGACAGTTCGTCCAGGGCCCATTGAGGAGTTCAGCCTCGCAACGAATGGCAGAGTCTGTAAAGAAACCACGGTCAGCACCAGGAAGCTGCAGAAAGGGGTCTTGTGGGACAACTCTCCAAAGACACTTTTTATGTTTAAAGACCATGACCTTGTAAAGCCCCAGTGGCCGGCACTGCCTGGCTCACGGCAGGGCCTCACTAAGAACAGTTCACACGATGAAGTGACTAAATGGAACGTGGGACCTGCCTGCGCTGGGGTCTGAAGCAGGGCCGCACGTCCTGCCTGGGGGGAGGTGGCCGAGACGGGAGGCACTAAGGAAACACCCTAATGGCTCAAAGACTCTGCCTGGCCAACTTTTCTCTGTCCAGGATCAGCACAGAAATGCAGACTGGCTCTTGTGGGCTTCTACTGAGGGTGGAGGTTACATACACCAGCTAATTAAAACTTATTTTGTTATACAGAATAAAATTTTTGGCTCTTCAAACCTTTGACAAACAGGTGGCGCAAGTCAAACTGTGATTGGCAGTCGAACCTTTGCTCTTGGTGTAGACAGTTCTGGGTTCGATTTTAGAAATGTCTCCTTCTCTATTACTAGGCTGTTGGGGAAATAGTTCTGCAGTAAGGTATGGAAAAAATGAAGCTGGCTTCCAAGATTTAAACTATTCATTTCCTGGGCGATTTTATAAAACATCCCATGTTATAAACTAGACAAAAATACTTACAAACTGTGATGTGCCAGACTTCTGTACCTATTGGAAGAGAAAGTCAAAATGGAGACATTTGAAAGGGAAAACTTTTATTTTATAACAAGAGCAGTCAGATCTTACTGGCTGAAATGGCCAGAGCCCAGGGTGGTGGCGCCCGCTCAGCCCTGGAAGTGACTCCCAGTGGCCTACGCTTTCTGATGGGTATGTACCGGTCATGAAGGGCGCTCAGGCTGGGAGCACGGTCTGATAGTCCTGTAGTCCTAGGACCGCACATGAATTTCACACACATGTTACTTGTTCTTTCCAAGGGGCTCCAAAAATGCTATTATATTCTATGAGGTCACATGCTCTGATATCATTAAGATGTAACTTTTTCCATTAATAACAAAGACTGTACAGTGTAGACTGTACTTATTCCTACAGAGAAGATACACGTTCATTTCCCAGTGCAGTGACTGTTCAATATTTATAAATACTGCGTGACAGTTTACTCAACAGTGAGTGAGGTTTTTTTACGTAAGAACGGTGGGGACAGTGGCCACAAACCCTGATAGCCCAAGCCTCTGCAAAACTTCCACTCCCTGGTCCCACAGAAGTTGATGCCCTAGTTTTCAAATGATTACTTCCACCCCCTCTGGATATTAAAAACAATTTTTCACATTAAAAACATAACTTAAAAATTCAGCCTGCTTGCTGCCCGATTTACTTGGCAACTCAAAGAACATTTTTAAACTGGTGGTTATTTAAAAGATTGAATATTTACATTTTCTTTACTTATCTCTGTCAGTTCCAAAGTTGACGGCTGGGTACTTCTTAAATCCTGAAGATAAGATTAATTTTTAATATCCATCAGAATTTTAAATATAGCCTCCCTGACATCTCAAAGAGAATTACAGATAGTGTTAAACGTAAACATATGCTTGAAAATCGTGATCCAAAAACGCACTTTACATTAGGGTCCTCTCCCCCCGTATCAGATGGGCAGACATCAAAGAGACCAAAAACAAGTGTCAGGAAGAATGTGACACATGGGTGCACTGCACACTGCTCGACTCCTGAAGGGCAAGCTCGTGCTATCGGTCATGACTCAAAATGCAAATACTCTCTCAAAACATTCCACTTCTAGGAAGCGATCTCAGGAGGAATCCTCCACTGTACTCCTGTGTCGGGCAACGAGCCCCTGTTCCAAAGGGTTTTGTTCTGTAATTACTGTTGGGGTTTTTTTGTGTGTGGTCGTTAGAACCATACTAGATTTAAGATCCTACAGAGTGCCAGCCAACAAATGGCCCGCTACTAGTCCGTAAGAGTTATTTCCAAGAAATTAATATACTGATGACAGAGACATTTATAGTATTTTTACCTTCATGGAAGATTTAATTAAAGATATTTCCTACCATTTCATCAGAAAACATCATCAAAGAAGACTCCAAGCTGTGGAAAAGTACTCACCGAGCTGAAGCTAAAACCAACCGAATGGATATTCACTTTGCCATAAATGCCCAGAGTGTCTATCTTCCCTGGGCTAATCCTGTGGGCGTAGAGCAGGATATGTTTCCCATTTACAGCCACCTAAAGGGACACAGAACAGCCCACCACCCCCAGAAAAAAAAAGTTAATATATTAATGTATCCAAACTTAAATACCGTTTCCTTGGGTTTCATTTTATACCTTTGCCCACAGGTCTACATGTTAGGCGTCTGATCAAACTGTGACTGAAAGCATCCATAACACTAGTTATGTGGTTCTTAACTTCCTTTGGGGTCTGATCTGATTAGTCACCATGGACCCTCTCCCGCCACACAAATCAGGCATGAATATGTCACATGTGCGTGTGTACCTATGCATGTACACGAACATCGGGATTCAGATGCCGCCCCAGATGCGCTAGGCCTATGAAGGCAGCATAGCAGTCTGCCTGGCAGCTGCCCACGTGCGGTCCTTGAGGACCGCGGTCTAAGGAAGATGACCCTCTACGTGGCAGACGTTCAGTAAGTATTTGTTGAATCCTGAATGAAGGGACACGGGCAAGCTACTCACAGTATCTGCGATCCTGCTTACAGCAGGCCAAAGCTCACTCTGAACAAAGGGGTGCTGTTGTGAGGAAACCACACAACAGTGCCTGACAGCAGGGACCCACTCCCTGTCCCTCCCTCCCCAATAGGGAAAGTTGGGAAAACACAAGCAGGATACAAAACGGTCTCAGACCTCAAGGAGCTTACCACCCCCTTGGCACATAAATAAGCCCAGGAAAATGCACAACGGCACAGGAACGAGTTTGAGAGAAGGAATACAGATACAAGTGCCCAGGACGCCGGGGAGGGAGGGACGAGTAGAGTCCACGCCCGAGACGGGAGATCTTCACGCTAAGCTGTGCGAATTCGCGGGCGGGTGCATCCCAAGCTCCAGGGCCTCCCTGTACGTCACATGCAGGCACTATATGCTCTAGGTCTAGACTGCTCACTGAAGCCAGTGGTAGGATTTCTAAGAACTCTGGACCTACAACCTCATAATCCTAAAGAACTTGTGGCAGGATTCCCCATCCGTTAGTTTCAGATTCCCACCACCACCACCCCCGCCCCGCCCCCAAGCCCAGGTGACTGTGACCACAGTTGACTATCACAATTTATACAGCTCTGTGCCAATTCAGAAGCAAGCTCGGCTGTGCAGCCGAAATGCCATACACAAAAAGGTCTGGAGGCCCTGGTCCCCCAATTCCGGATGCCACACGAGGGGCAGACGGAAGCTGCACCCACCTCACATTTAGGTACCCACCTGGCCCCTACTTTAGGGTGAGACGATGAGGCCACTCTCTGGACTTAAATAATGTGAGGATGGACTCGCCAACATGCAAAGCTGCCCTGGGTGCTGCTTCTCACCCATGAGGATGCCACCTTCATTCTCCCAAACCCACCTGGAATTTGTCTTTCAACACCATAATCACAATTTCGAAAGATTTTTCTTTTTTGAAAGGCATGTCGTAGGTGATCTCTTCCCATCCCCACTTTTCATTTTTCAGAGTATTGCAGACAATGCAGTCAGACCACTTGAAGCGTGGATTGAAATGAAAGGCCACGTCGGCGCGGGGCTTCACGCTGCTGCCGCACTGCAGGTCCACTTGGAATCTGCAGGAGTTGAGGAGGGAGGGTCGCGGACACCCAGGGGCGGGGCCGGGCTGCAGGCAGAGGCCTGGCGAGCCCAGTGACCTGAGACTGAACCCCGTGCACCCACCCAGCTACCCAAAACGTGGATGTGAGGGCTGGGTTTCTAGCTGCCGCAAGCCAGGAGAAACAGGACCTCGCCTTGAGGACGGCAGAACAGTGATCCCGAAGCCTGCTTCTCTAGCCTATGGAGTTGCCTAGAAATGTCTGGGCTTTTCTCCTTCAGACTGCACTTTCATTTATTTAAACCACTGTCATCCGGGCATCAGCCACAGAGAGCTGGCCCAGCCATGGCACCGCCTAGTCCACAATGTGTGCCCAAAGCAAGCATCACACAAAGCCCCACCCCCGAGATCGATCTTCAGAGATGCTGCTGGGGGTGTTAGACTGTAACCAGACCTCGTCCCTGGCCTCCGACCACAATTCCTGTCATATCTAATCATATTCCAATCAGACTTTGAACAATAAAATAACCAAACTTTTTCGCTTTCAGTCATTCTTTCCAGTCTCCTCAGCACCTTGGCCAGGGCTGCTGACGGAAGCAAAACCAAGCCTCAGAGGGTCAAAACGGTCTCCCCCGCATCAGCTTCTGCGGTTGTTCCAGTCACAAAGACAGTTTAGTCACCTTATCTAACACATGATTACCTGTCCGAATCACAAGGGACATGCCCCCGGATCACAATCAGGGTTCCATGCTCCAGCTGCTCGGGAATCGTCCCGACATAGGGGATGACCTAGGAAAAAGGATTTTAACAAATGTATGTTTACATAAGCAAAACAGAAATACTACGTTTTGAAAGGATGCATAGTAATCTGCTCAGAATCCAGCATTTTCCAAATCACTGTTCAAACAGCTGAGAGAGTGACAGCATCTGTACACCTGAGTTCTTTGGAAAAAGACACAGCTAAAAATTCACAGAACGTTTTATTTGGCTGGGGGGAGGGGGGCTGTGAAATAAAACACTTAATAGGAAAATTATGATCATGGAAACAACAGCTTGCTGGAAGTCACATCCCCCTCCCCCTCCCTTTTCCCTAACATCCCACGGCTGATCTGCAGCAGGACCGAGCCCACGCCAGGCCCCAGGCCCACACTGATGGAGGCCATGGCACTCGCTGGCCGCTGGAAGAGAGGCACCAGATAAACCCCTCCCCTGTGCCCAGGACGGGCATGTCTAGTCCCTGCCAGGCTTCTAGACGGCAGCTCACCGGTGCTACTGGGCACCTGCGCTCTCTCCAGACGCAGCGCCCCCCAGCCTGGCCTGGTCCCAGCCACAGGCTTGGGCTCCAACACAGTATCCGGGTCTCCTCTTGCCCCCTCATCACCCTGACCCTGCCCTTTTAGTCTGGGACCCAACACACTATCAGGTCTTGTCAGTCCCCTTCCCCAGGGGTGACTCCACTGTGCTCCCCATCCACTGGCTGCACCGGCTGCATCACAACCCCACCCTCTTCTGCCAGGGAGCACCTGAGCAGAGCAGGCCAGACCCCATCATGCCTCTCGCTCAGCTCACCCGAGCTGTGACACAGATGCTAAAACCTCTCCAAGGTAGCTGGCTGCCAAGACCTAAGACCTAAAACACAAGAGGGCATATCCAAGCGGTTGTGGATTGGTCGCTCCGAGGCTGAAAATCTTGCCTCAAGCGCAGCCTTTTCCAGACTCCGTGGGCCATCTGACATAGCCCCTCTCTGAGGGTCCCTCGTGCACTTTATACTCCAACCAGACTGTGTGCTGCACGGGGTGGGCTTGGGTCAGGACCGGTCAGATGATCGGTGCTGATCCGGGGAGGACCGCGCTCCCAGCAGCCCAGTGCCGGGGTTCTGGCACCCTCACGTGCAGAGCCAGCAACGCGGGTCGTGGCCTTAACCGCCGAGAGATCATTGAAAACCAGGAGTCACCGAGGGCGGCGAGCATCTGGCATTGCGGCAGATGTGGGGAGCCAGGTGGGGGAGACGCACAGGGCCCATCACACCAGAGAACATGCCACAGAAGTGCAGAGCGTGGCTGCAGCGCACATCAAGTCATCGGATTTTTGTGTAGAGACTATGGAGAAGGAATTCCACACTGATCTTCGGCCACTGCGATTCCTAGAGCAGCAGGAGGCATCTTCCACAGCGAAGTCTCCTCATAAACTGAGAACCGTTTTGAATCCATATTCAAATTCTACTCATGCAGAATATTCAATAATGCAAAAATGGCAGGGATAGTATTCGTGAGAAAAGAGCCTACAAAACTATACACAGTTGGATCCCAACTAAGTTAATAATAAACATTAAAAAAAGAAATAAGCCAAAATGTTAACCATAGTTTTCTTCAGGGACGGGATTTTATTTTTCGTCATGTATTTTTGTATTTTGTATTTTCCAGATTGCTGTAATAACCGTTTATAGTTTTATGACCACAAGTTTTTATTGTATGGTTAATTTTAGGGTTGGAAAGAGCTTTCTGAGACCAATACTCTATTCCCATCACTGCTAAGAAGTTCTTTGCAACCCTTACTAAGTTGTTCCAGTCTGAGCAACAAGAGCCCTGAGCAGCTGAGTCGTCTGCTGTTTTCAGCATCTGGATGAACGTTTTCTGCTTGGGGGAGCACCCCGAGTCAAGTAACTCTCAAGGGACTTGGCCCACGCGACCCCAGTGCCCTGCAGCCCACGCACTGAACACAAAACTGTTTGCTCCTGTGAAAAGCCAGAAGAGCATTATTTTGTAGGCAGTGTCAAGCTCTGACGCTTCGCCAAAAATTTATGTAAAAAAAATTAAAATACAGCTATGGTCACACTGGACACAATACCATCAGCTGAAACCCCACTGATCAGGTTTAGTGTTTTCTCCCAAAACATCCTAGTTGACTCATACCACTTTGCCCTTTTTAGGATTACTTATTCAGTGTGTGCTCCACACAAGGTCTCTCTTATGTGGCTCCGGCTAGAAAGCAGCATGATGGCTCCGTCCACGAGGAGCTCCTAGGCCAGCTGGGAAGACGTCAGATGCCCGTAGAAGAAGTGGAGCAGAAACAGGACACTGTGGCTGTTCAGAATCAGTCTCCTTCCACGTCTGGAAAATCCTCTCTACCTGGTGAACAATCGACGTCCTCTAGACTGCAGTGAGCAACAAGGGTGTGTGACGAACCTCTGTCCCTCAGTAGCCCCAGCTCAGACTCGTTGGAGCCGGTGCCAAGAAGCCAGAATCAGGCAGTACTCGCTCTGCCCGCCACGGGCGGCGCTGCCAGTACCATCTGTGTCCAGTGGTGGCGCCAGAGGTCTCAGCGGGACCGGTTATGGCAGGGCTTCGGACGGTGTCTATGACAAGGACTTGCCGAGTCTCGTTCTTCAGACCTGCTAGAGATTCGGAGGACTACGCAGTATCATTTAATAAATCTTAACTTAACAGTTAATAAATTAACAATCTCTGCCTAGAGACTGGCTTTTATGCTCGCAACTACAACCTGCGACTAATTCAACAGCTTAAAACACGGGGCAGTAAGTTGCTGCCAAATCAGTGCTTCAGAAAAATGTATCAAGAATTCCGAGCTGCCCAGAGAACTTTATGGCAGAGATGTGATTTTTAATGTTTTATTTATTTTTGAGAAAAAGAGAGAGACAGCATGAGCAGGGGAGGGTCAGAGAGAGAGGGAGAGTCACAGAATGTGAAGACAGGCTCCAGGCTCTGAACTAGCTGTCAGCACAGAGCCCGATGTGGGGCTCGAACCCACGAACTGTGAGATCATGACCTGAGCCGAAGTCGGACGCTCAACCGACTGAGTCACTCAGGCGCCCGCGCAGAGATGTGATTTGAGCTGGGAGCTTAGAGAGGAGGAGAAAGTCAGTTCAGGTAGAAATGTCCATTTACAAAAGCAGAGAGGCAGGAAAAGATAAAGCATGTCTGGTAGAGAGTAAGCAGTAAGGGAGCAGTGCCAGACAGGGTCAGATTTTAGAGTGATACAATGAGGGGCACCTGCGTCGCTCAGTCAGTTAAGCGTTGGACTCTTCATTTCAGCTCAGGTCATGATCCCACAGTTCGTGAGTCTGAGCCCCTGCATCAGGCTCTGTGCTGTTAGCTTGGGATCCTCTCCCCGCTCCTCTCTGCCCCTCTCGTTTGTGCACACTCTAATCACACACACAAAAATTTTTTAAGTATGTTAAAAACAAAAAGGATGATATAATGAAAATGGGGTTTGGGAACAACAGTCCAGTGGGGTAAAATATGCAGGAGAGCAAGGGATTATCTGGGAGACTGGCTCCTTGCAGGAAGACTGGCATAAGGAGATAGGAATATAATCCAGGCTAATGGCAGCAGACCCTGGGGGCAGGGAGAAGAAGAGGCAGGTACAAGAACTATTTCAAAGGAAACCATCTATGCCAGGCCACCAACTAAAATGGTGAAATTGGGGAGGAAACAGATTCAGAAGGAAGACGAGGTTAGTTTTAAACACTTCCCGTGAGACGGTGGGCAGGACATCTAAGAGCTCATATAACCGAAAGGAGTAGGAGATTCAGCACCGCACGTTAAGTGAACAGCCAGAACTCATGCTCTAAAGTCAGAGCAGAAATGATTATTAAAGATATCAAGGTAGATGAACTGAGAGGAAGGAAAAGTCAGGGGCAAAGCCTCGATGGGTTTGTAAAGCAAGAGTGTGCAGAAAAGGGAACAAAGCAGACCTGACTGCTGTCCTTGAAAGGTGGCCTCTTTACGAGACTGGCCCTTGGCTGGTGTCTAGGAACTTGGATTTGGGGACAGTACCCACCACCCACACAGAAAAGGGAAGTCTCCTGTATGCAAATTTTGTGCAAACAATACAGTTTATGCTAAAAACCAGCTCTCCTCCAGGAGTCTGGAATTTTGGCACGTGCCAGGCAGAAGCAGTCTGCGAGACTGGCCCCAGATACAATCTCCTGGCAGTGAGTCTCTGATGAGCTTCCCCTGTAGGCAACGTTTCACATGCACTGTGACAGCTGGTTGCTGGGGATTTAAGTACATCTTGGGTGACTCCACTGAGGACCCGTGGAACCTTGCGCCTGGTCCCCCTTGGACTTCGCCCAAGGTGCCTTTCCCTTTGTGATTCTGCTATCACTTCACTGTAATAAATCACAGCCTTGAGTATGACCGTGCTGTTGAATCATCACAATTGGGTGTGTGTCAGAGACCTTGATGCAGATGATGAGAAGAGAAAGGAAAGAATGATCAGTCAGGGCTGAACAGTCATATCAAGGAAGTCATTTCAATATGGGAAGACTGTCAATATCTTTAACATGGAAAAATAAGAAAGATTTTAAAAAGATAATGAAATGGATATCATACCCTTTGGCCCAGTGATTCCACTTTTACAGATTTATCCTATAACATACCGGCACGCATGCTTAAAGATGCATATGGCTATGTACATCATAGCACTGGATACAATCACAAAAGGAACTTTTGGTTTTAATGGAAACTGGCTAAAGAAGTTACAGTATATCCATGCTGATGGACCAATTTATGTGGCCATAAAGATAGGCAAGGAAGCTATAAGTGTGCTGGTATCTCCAAAATGTATCAAATGGAAAAAAGCTGCATATACAACAGTTTATATACAGGCATACCTCGGAGATACTGGATGTTCAGTTTCTAGGCTGCTTCAATAAAGTGAACACTGCAATAAAGCTATTCAGATAAATTTTGTGGTTTCTCAGTGCATAAAAGAGTTGTTTGGGGGTGTCTAGGTGGCTCAGTCAGTGAAGCATCTGACTCTCTATTTTGGCTCAGGTCATGATCTTCCAGTTCATGGTTTCAAGCCCCACGTCGGGCTCTGAGCTGACCGCATGGAGCCTGCTTGGGATTCTCTCTCTCATCACCCTGCCCCTCCCCTGTTTGCATGTGCTCTCTCTAAGTAAATAAACTTAAAAAAAAAAAAGTTATGGTTACATTATACTGCAGTCTATTAAGTGTACAATAGCACTGTTATCTTCAAAAAAGTGCATTCCTTAATTTAAAAATATTGCATAAAAAAAAGCAAACCATCACCTGAGCTTTCAGCAAGTTGTAATCACTGATCACCATAATAAAAAAATTAAAAAAATTTGAAATACTGCCAGAATTTCCAAACTGTGACATAAGACATGAGGAGAGCAAAAGAGAGCAAATGCTGTTGGAAAAGCAAGGCTGCCATGAGCCCTCGCTCTGGGAGAAGCATTCGGTAAAACAAGGGATCCTGTTGTACGACACATGTGTAAAGAAACAGGATCTACGAAGTGAAACACACAACACGCACACTCAGACATTCACGTGTGTTCTCAGGAAGGATCTACAAAACCTAGTGAATATGACTGCCTTTGGGGTGGGGGGACTGAGCACAGGGCAGAGGGCAATTTTATGTGTTAGTGAAACCCTCAAATACTGTATGAATTTTTACAAAGGATTTATACAAACTCTCTTCAGATTTGAAAAACAATGATAATAAAGGAAAACCCACTGAGGTTTGACTCAAATGAAATGAAATTCTGAATGCAGATTCTCTTCAAACTATGCGGGGCTTGGCAGCACAGAACAGCAGAAGTTAAACCGCAGGAAGACATGGACAGAAATGGAAACCCACAAGAGGGGCGCTGATTTGGGGAGGAAGACATGACTTTGGCTTTGAACTCCTGAATCTGAGAGCGGTAGACTCAGGTAAAAGGCTGGAAAGGCTTATACACCATGTACACACTCAAAAGGTCTGACACCGATCAGGAAAGATACCAAGAGAAAGTGAGAGACACGACTAGTGAAGACATGAAAGAAATTAAGAAAGAGTTAAAAAAAAAAATCAGAGGGCAGATGGGAACATCAAGTCAGCAGAAACAGACACTGATGCTCTCGGGACTGGGACTAGCAAGGGAAGAACAAGAGAACAAAAGCTGGGAGGGACCTCGGAGGTTAAAACAGATTTTATTTTTTTGTTTTTTAAGACTAAATGGTAAGGAACAAAGGAGAAGAAAATGTGGAAGCGAGCTTCCTAAGCAGAATGGAACGGTGAGCATTTCAGCACCAGGAAGAACGGACGGTTAAAAATGGCTTATTAACTCACAACAGCCAATCTGACCGTTGCTAAAGTAACTTCGATGTTAAGGCAATCAACTGGGACTAAGTCTACAAGCTAGACTTAGAAAACACTACTGTCTTGCGTTATGGTTGTTTTGTTAGTGATCAGTCTAAACACCGAAGAGTTGGAGCCTAGTGTGCGTGCTCAGCGCTGGAAGTATTTAATAAGTGAAATTTAAAGACAGAGCACAATGTCATTCTTGCTATCAAGTTCCATCTTTCTACCTCTATCCTTTCCTACCTGTGAAAACAGATTATAAAACAAAAAAAGCTATTTGCCAGAATTATTTGCTTTGGAGCACTCTGTCACCATGAACTATGCTCAGAACAGCAGCAAGGCCTTCTGGGAGCCCGGGCTGCATTTCCTGCCACGCGGCAGCACCACTCCCCCAGGCCCTTCCTCAGGAAATGAATGTCAGCCTGATTTTGTTTCAATCCTAGAGAGGAGTGTGCTACACCCAGAAATTCAGGAGTTGTCAGTGTGCGCGCAATCAAGATGTGGAGGAATTTTAACCTACAAAACTGCTTTCTGAGTAACATTCAAACAAGGCCTCCTTGCCTGAAGGGCAGAGCTGAAGAGTGTAACCTCCTCCTGAAGCCAACACTGTGTTTCAGGCACCTTTACAGGCAGGCCTTTTTTTTTTTTTTTTTTTAATCTTGCAGAAACTCAGTCTACAACCTTGAGATGTTTTTAACTCTGAGATACAGAGAAGCATTTTAAACGTCTCACTGACTTCAAATTCAGTAAGTCTTCCTTTTTAAACCAGTACCTACTGAAGGCTATTTCTTCTAAAACTGAGTTTTGCTTGACGTGGTGATTGTACCTCATTCTGGGCAATGACATCAAAGCTTAGGTTTAAAAAAAGAGTCACGCCTACAAAGTAACTAACAAGAAAATGAGCCTGGCTCGGGGCTATGCTTCAAGGGACCTCTGCAAGCCTTCCGGAGAAGGAGGCTATAGAGAAAAGGCAGCAAGTCTGTCTTAGACCTGAATTCAGCCTTGTGTACGTGCAAACCAGACATTTTTCAAGATTCTTAATCAGCACATAAAACTAAAACCAGTTCTTCACTTCCCAGGACGTGCAATGAAAGATCCAGCACCTGCAGTCACTGGGGACCTTGAACCACCACAGGACCCTTAATTCTTCTCTTTCTCAATCTCGTCACTAGCTTTTGACCTTTTCCCAGCTCAAGTACGAAGCAGTATTTGAAAGGCAAGGGAAAAGCGGAGACATTCACTTCTCATAAACAGGGTCTAATTAAGAAAGAAAATTAAAACTTTGAGAGCAACGAATCCATTTTCCTTTGAAAAGTTGTGTCTTGTGATGATCTTCCCAGGACCAAAGTCGGCTTCCCTCCACCGTACCCCATGGTCTCCACTCAGAACACGTTCTCACCACCCTGTACGGTCTCCGTGATTTCGTCCTCCACTAGACCGAGCTCCGAGGGCGGCACCTGTTTTTCGGTCAGCGACCAGCACGGTCCCTATCACATAGTGGCTACTTCCCGTACGTTTGCTGAATCTGATGGTCTCCCCTCCCCGGCAGTGGATAATTACTATCCGACTGGGTCTGCTCTACATCCTGCCACAGATAAAAAGTGATTTCAGAGGATTCAGTTACCGGGTTATAGATGACATTCTGCAGGTTGTTTAAGGACAACATCATTCTTTTCCACCTTATTGTTGATTGAGGTCTCTAGTCTACGTATGATCTAAGGTTTTAAAGCAAGTTTCATTTAAAGACTTCCCAGATTGAAACGGAGGAACTTGCCCTGTGTAAAATCAAAACAGAAGGAAAGAAATATTAGCTAGCATCATTTTTCTTCATATCATAACTATCTCTAAGTTTAAGTTATAAATAAGTTTACTGATATTTACTAAATAACAGGTTGCTATTATAATCAAAGATCTGATCCCAATTCTTCCCTCGTGTACTTACACACCAAGTAATTTGGGATTATCAGCACAGGAAATGGTATAAAATATACAGTAGTAGAGGGGAGGGTTAAAAATGGTCATATGGCATGATACTCTACATCGAAAACCCAACAGACTCCACCAGAAGCCTACTAGAACTGATCCAAGAATTCAGCCAAGTTGCAGGGTACAAAATCAACGTACAGAAATCGGTTGCATTTTTATACACCAACAATGAAGCAACAGAAAGAGAAATCAAGAAACTGATCCCATTCACAATTGCACAAAAAACCATAAAATACCTCGGAATAAACCTAACCAAGGATACAAGAGATCTGTATGATGAAAACTATAGAAAACTTATGAAGGAAATTGAAGAAGACACAAAGAAATGGAAAAACCATGCTCATGGATAGGAAGAATAAATATAGTTAAGATGTCATTACTACCCAAAGCACTCTACACATTCAATGCAATTCCAATCAAAATTGCACCAGCACACTTCTCCAAACTAGAACAAACTATCCAAACATTTGTATGGAACCACAAAAGACCCCGAATAGCCAAAGTAATACTGAAAAATAAATCCAAAACGGGAGGTATCACCATCCCAGACCTTAGCCTCTACTACAAAGCTGTCATCATCAAGACAGTATGGTACTGGCACAAAAACAGACACACAGACCAATGGAACAGAATTGAGAGCTCAGAAGTGGACCCAAAAGTATACAGCCAACTAATCTTTGACAAAGCAGGAAAGAATATCCAATGGAAAAAAGACAGCCTTTTTAACAGATGGTGTTGGGAGAACTGGACAGCAACATGCAGAAGAATGAAACTAGATCATTTTCTCACACCATGCACAAAAATAAACTCAAAATGGATAAAGGGCCTGAACGTGAGACAGGAAACTATCAACACCCTAGAGGAGAAAGCAGGAAACAACCTCCTTGACCTCCACTGCAACAACTTCTTACTTGACACATCCCCAAAAGCAAGGGAATCAAGAGCAAAAATAAACGACTGGGACCTCATCAAGATTAAAAGCTTCTGCACAGCAAAGGAAACAACCCAGAAAACTAATAGGCAACCAACGGAATGGGAAAAGATAGTTGCAAATGACATATCAGATAAAGGGTTAATATCCAGAATCTATAAGGAACTCACCAAACTTCACACCCGAAAAACAAACAACCCAGTGATGAAATGGGCAGAAGATATGAAGAGACACTTCTCCAAAGAGGACATCCAGATGGCCAACAGACACATGAAACAATGCTCAGCATCCCTCCTCATCAGGGAAATACAAATCAAAACTACACTGAGATACCACCTCACGCCAGTCAGAGTGGCTAAAATGAGCAAATCAGAGAACTCTAGATGCTGGCGAGGATGTGGAGAAACGGGCACTCTCCTACACTGTTGGTGGGAATGTAAACTGGTACAGCCCCTCTGGAAAACAGTGTGGAGGTTCCTAAGGAAACTAACAATAGAACTCCCCTATGACCCAGCAATGGCACTGCTAGGAATTTACCCAAGGGATACAGAAATGCATAGGAGCACATGTACCCCAATGTTCATAGCAGCACTCTCCACAATAGCTAAAACATGGAAAGAGCCTAAGTGTCCATCAACAGACGAATGGATCAAGAAGATGTGGTTTATCTATACCACGGAATACTACATGGCAATGAGAAACAATGAAATCTGGCCATGTGTAGCAACATGGATGGACCTTGAGGGTGTTATGCTGAGCAAAATAAGTCAGGCAGAGAAGGACAAATATCATGTTTGCACGTATAGGAGGATTAGGAGGAACTTGATGGAGGAACAAGGGGGAGAAGAAGGGGGGGAAATGGTGGGGGAAAGGGAAGAGGCAAACCGTGAGAGACTCTTGAATGCTGACAAAAACTGAGGACTGATGGATGTGGGGGGAGGAGGGATGGGCATGGAGGAGGGCACTTGTGAGGATGAGCACTGAGTGTTATGTGGAAACTAATTTGACAATAAACTATTTGTAAAAAATAAAAAAAATTAAATTTAAAAAACTACTCTATCAAATTGCATTCAGCAATATACAAAAAAGATAATAAAATTCACTCAATAAAACAATCAAAAAATAAATAAATAAATAAATAAATAAATAAATAAATAAAAATGGTCATATGGGAAGATCCTAAGCTCATCCCCTCCCATGGACATGGCGACTCTACAATTACACATGGACTACCTTCCTCTTGAAGGGAACCTGGGAACTGGATGAACAGAGCCTCCGCAAGAGGAGACAGAGATACAGCCTCACTAATGGAAAAACCACACCCCAGGCAATGGTATTCCACAGTCCAGACAGATCTCAAAGGTATGGAAATTTTCCCAGAGAAGTGAGAGATTCAAGCTTACATCAGGCACCCCAACCTTTGTGTCCTGCACTGATGACCGGACCCCCAAAACAGTTGGCTTTCAGAACAAAATCAACAGAAGGAAGGAAACAATAAAAATTAGAGCAGATATAAATGACATAGAAACTACAAAAATACAAACGAACAGATGAGTGAAACCAGGAGCTGGTTCTTTGACAAGATCAATAAAATTGATAAACCTTTACCCAGACTCATTACATACATACATACATACATACATACATAAAATTAAAAAATCATAAAGAGGAGAAAGAACCAACACCAAAGAAATACAAAGTACTGTGAGAGAATATTATGAAAAACTAAATGCCAATGTATCAGACAACCTAGAAGAAATGGATAAATTTCTAGAAACATATAACCTACCAAAGTTGAAGCAGGAAGAAACAGAAATTTTGAATAGACTGATAATTAGCAATGAAACTGAATCTAAAAATTAAAAATGCCCAATAAACAGAAGTCCAGGACCAAATGGCTTCACAGGAAAATTCTAGCAAACATTTAAAGAAGCGTTACTACCTATTCTCAAACTATTCCAAAAAAGAGAAAAGGAAGAAAAACTTCCAAATTCAATCTATTAGGTCAGCATTATTCTGATACCAAAACCAGATAAAGATACCACAAGAGAACTTTAAGTCATTATCTCTGATGAACACAGATGCAAAAATCTTCAATAAAATATTAGCATATCAAATCCAACAATATACTGAAAAAAATCAAAGAGGAAAATTAAAAATTATATGGACACAAATGAAAATGAAAACACAACACTCCAAAATCTTTAGGATGCAGCAAAAGCAATTATAAATGAAAGTTAAGAGCAATACAGGCCTACCTCAACAAAGTAGGTTTACTTTTTTTTAAATTTCTTTTAATGTTTTTTTAAATTTATTTCTAAGAGAGAGAGAGAGACAGCGTGAGCAGGGGAGGGTCAGAGAGAGAGGGAGTGACAGACTCCGAAACAGGCTCCAGGCTCTGAGCTGGCAGCAGCACAGAGCTCGACACGGGACTCGAACCCACGAACCGCAAGATCATGACCTAAGCAAAAGTCGGATGCTTAACCGACTAAGCCACCCAGGCGCCCCTCAACAAAGTAGGTTTAAAAGGAACATGTCTCAGTATAATAAGAGCCATATATGAAAACCCACAGTTAATATCATCCTAAATCCCCAATGTCAGGAATAAGGCAAGAATGTTCACTCTCACCACTTTTATTCCTCATAGTACTAGAAGTACTAGCCAGCACAATCAGACAAGAAAAAAGAATAGCAGGAATCCAAATTAGTTAGGAAGAACTGTCACTATCTACAGATGACATAACACTATGTATAGAAAACCCTACAGACCACATCAAAAACCTACCAGAACTGTTGAAGCAATTCAGTAAGGTGACAGGATACCAAATCAATGTAGAAACATCCATTGCAATTTTATACATTAATAATGAGGCAGTAGAAAGAGAAATTAAGAAAACTCCCATTTACAATTGCACCAAAAATAGTAAAATATCTAGGAATAAAGTTAACCAAGGAGGTGAAAGACCTGTACTCTGAAAACTATAAAACACTGATGAAAAAAACTAAAGATGGCAAAAACAAATAGAAAGACATTCCATGCTCATGGGTTGGAAGAACAAGTATTGTTAAAGTGCTGATACTACCAAAAAAATGTTGATGCTACCCAGAGCAAGCCACATATTCAAAACAGCAATAGCATTTTTCACAGAACTATAATAAATAATCCTAAAATTTGTATGAAACCATAAAATAGTGTGAATAACTGAAGCAACCTTGAAAAGGAAAACAAAGCTGGAGATATCACAATTCCAGATTTCAAGTTAGATTACAAAACTGTAGTATTCAAAACAATATGGTACAAAATAGACACATAGATCAACAGGACACACTAGAAAGCATAGAAATAAACCTGTGATGGGGCGCCTGGGTGGCTTAGTCGGTTAAGCGTCCGACTTTCGCTCGGGTCATGATCTCGCGGTTCGTGGGTTCGAGCCCCGCGTCGGGCTCTGTGCTGACTGCCAGCTCAGAGCCTGGAGCCTGTTTCGGTCTGTGACTCCCTCTCTCTCTGACCCTCCCCTGCTCACGCTGTCTCTCTCTCTCTCCTAAAAATAAATAAAACATTTAAAAAAAAAAAAAAAAGAAATAAACCTGTGATGTTATGGTTAATTAATCTTCTGCAAATGAGAGAATATGCAATTAGGAAAAAAACACATGCAATAAGAAAAAAAACATTCTCTTCAATGAACGGTGTTTGGAAAACTGGACAGCTACGTGCAAAAGAATGAAACTGGACCACTTTCTGACACCATACACTCAAATAAACTCAAAATGGATTAAGAACCTAACTGTGAGACTTGAGACCATCAAAATCCTTGAAGAGGACAGACACAGTAATTTCTCTAACAAAGGCCACAACAA